ATTTCCTTTTTGGTTTTCCTATAAAAGAATATAACAAACTTTTTGCATATATAAAGGTGGCAGGTAATGAGGTTGCTTGTTCTATTTTTTCCCTTTCGAACGACTTCCGAGTGTGAAATGAATACTAACTTGGACTTTGCATTCTATGTTATTAAGATCGTTAGATATGCATGATCACTCTGAATAAATGTAAATGGATCGTAATGTACTTACAAAATGCTAACTTTACTTGAAACATTAGCTACCAAATATGTTTATGCTAAAAATGTTAGCAACATAAGAGAACCAAATATATGTCAACTACAGACGTCTATACGTTGCCATGCCGTGTTATGCCCATTTCCACAATAAATGAAATAGATGAAATGACAACATAACCAAACATTACCTTAATGGTTGAACCGCTAACCTATCACCCAAAGAAGCAAATAGTTTCATCCCTATGTTGCTTTCATATTTTGTATTCTATTTCCATTAACGATAAAAAATACTTCATGTTTATCATACTTATTTTTGTTTAGTACACAACAACTATATCATATTTGATATGCTTCAAAAAGTTTTTTAGAGCACTTCTTTATTTTTTGTATTTTAACTATTTTTTAACTTTTGGTATCTAATTGTGTTTGACCCATTTGACCCAAATAGTTATTTGCCACCCCGATAGAAAAAAAAAATATTTATTTTTGGGGTATTTAAACAACATAGGTTTTCATACTAGCTACTAAACTTATTGTGTATATATTTAATTGGTGGAATTTATTGATTAAAGACAAAATACCTTAACATAGGTGAATGAGAGAGAATGAGAGGTAATACCTCAAATATAAGATTTAATGAGAGAGATAAAATGAACTTAATAGTAATAGTCAAATTACATGTTTTTCCCTCATAATAAGAGGGACCAAATTGAAAAAAAAAAGACTATTTTAGTCAAAAAAAAATTCCAAAATCTTCCCACATTTATATGGTTGTGCTCTGACTCAGTTGATAAGGTTTTTGGAGAATTGGATTGAATTTTGCCTTCATCTTGTTTATATCTCCTAAAATTTGTTTGTTCTTTGACTTTTGGATCAATAAGATTGTATTTGTACAACATTTAGGCTGCAATCCAAGGGTGCCTTGGTGAAGATCCCTCTTCTTCTATTTGAACTTTTCTATCATTTGTCTTATTAAAAAGATGATTTCCATGGTTCTTTCTTGCTAAACTTTCCATCAGATACTAGCAAAATGTTGCAATTAGCTCTTCCTTGACCAATAATTATGTGATTTCAAGTAGTCCCCTGAGCCTGGATTTATTAAGTTAACTTTTGATGGATACAATATAGGCAAATCCTAGTGATTCAAGAGTATAGTTGAGGGAATGGTCTTGGCGGCATCCTCGCTATTTAATATTTACTCTGAGTTCATAGGACATGGAGAATATGCAAGGGCAGAGTTGTAATCAATTTCACAGGGTTAGACATTGGATAAATCCCACAGTTATAGTGATATAGTGGGGGAAGGAGATTGTAAGGTGGAAGAGGGATAGAATAAGAAGTAAGAAGAAGAAATCACGAAAGAACTGCAGCATTTGGTTAGAGAGATATTAGTTGAAGACAAGGTGGAAGGTGCCATTGGTTGGTGCATTAGTAAAGTCTCAGGCTAAGTGTGAGATTACATGTTAGACTTTGAGAGAAGCCACTTTGTGAAAGAGTGGCAAAGATAATTAGGTCGGTAAAGGCCAATGCATACAATAAAGGAACACAATGTAGGTTCTCTAATAAGAACCTAGAGGTAAAAAGAATATGCATGATTACACACTTGCAAGTTCACTTGGTGTAATGTAAAGATTAAATGTATCAGAAGATAATTAAGTGAAGTTCAAATGGATATGGGCTAGAGACAAATTTAACTATGAATTATTTAAGTAGGAAAATGTGATTGAAAATTAACTAGTGCTACTGTAGCTTCAACACAAATTAAAACTCCTACTTTGTAACTCAAAAATGAACTATAATTAAACAACCCTGACCAACCACCAACAAAGAACTAGTAGTCTCATATTATCCTCCTGGCCATAACTTGCCAATGGGGAGGGGATTTAATTTCTCCCAATCAACTAGGAATTTTTCACGTAGATAGACCCAATTACAACCTAGGAAATCAATTGCAACCAACTAGTAGACATTATAGGTCAGAATGGCCCCCACTGATTGGGCTAATCTGTTAACCACAACACATTGTTGACCATGTTCGCCTAGCTGCACATTGGGAACATCTCTTGTATTTTATATCACCGATATTCTCAATGTATAGCTGGGTGAATGTGGCCAGCAATGTGTTGTGGTCAGCAGATCTGGACTCGTTTGCTCCACTAGACCTGTTCATGGGTCGGATAGCCCAACAGGCCGGCCCAGCCCGACCCGATCTAAGTCGGGCTAGGACAGGATTTCAGACCTGTGGGCTCGGGCCTAAAATATCATGCTCGACCTTTTTTTGGGCTGAGCTCGAGCTTCTCAAAAAAGCCTAACTCGAGTCTGAGCTTGACTTGATAATGTATTATATAATAAAAATATATTATTTTATAGAAATATAAAATATTTTTCTTTATTATTCTTCTCTTTTCTTTTAAAGTAATAGTGAGATCTTTCATTATTTTTTAGGTTCAGAGGTCTTTTAATATAAATAAAGTAGTTTTTAATTGAATAAAAAAGAAAACAATATTTTTTTTCTAAATTTCTGGTTGGGCTCGGGCTTCGGTCTTTATATGAGGGCTGGGTTTGGGCTCAAGACCTAGGCCCGATAGTCAGGCCGAGCTCGGGCTTGAACTTGAGCATATTCTATTAATGTAAAGGCAAAGCCCATCCCAAACCCGACTTAGCCCGGCCTGTCATAGGTTTATTCTCTACATCTTCTAGTGGTGTCATCTTCATGCCTTAGTTGTTATTTTTCATCTATGGACCATGTGGTCATACAGGTAACATAATACCCTACCCTATGAATGTTTGGGTCAATTCTAATTCTATATCAGAAATACAGTTACATAAACCATACTCTTTCCATCACCCTACTTGGTGTTCCTTTACAAGTTAACTTCTCAAAGTGGATGGGAAAATGGATATGTAAATAATAATAACAAGAAACAAACCATTATATGTTAAGACTCAGATAGATAGATGTCAATTGACTTTGAGACACTACCTTACTACTTGTGCACTATAAGGCATAAGCATAAGCTAATAATCAATTTTGACTTCAAAGTAGACATAATGACTCTTTAACCTACACAAACATAATAGAAGAGAAACCCAACAAGAAGATCCTTATATGTCTTCTAACTAATCCAAACAGGTCTAGTTCTAGTTAAGATTTTAAAAGGAAAGCCTCTTCAAGAAATTAAAAAAGAATGACAAAGTAGATAACTATATCCCTGTCAGATTGATTTGTATGTTTCATAAATCAGATAAATCATAAAATTCAAACAACAATAATAAGACATTCCTGGGAAGGGATTCAATCACAAGTTTTGGAAATTATAACAAATAAATAACCACTTGTTTAACATTTTGTCAAAATGTTCCTAATTAAGTTCATTTAAAAGCTATGCTAGCTACATAGACTAATTGATACCTCTAGCAAGTCACATGTCCTCACATGGACATGGAATCCACCTTGGACTAGGGTAGTTTTGTACCTTGCCAAGTCAATGATAATGGAGAAAGTTGCCCATCAAAGGAAACAGGAAACAAAGAAAAAAAAATGCCTGGTTTGCCTCAAATTGCTCTTCTCTACCTATTGTCAAGTATGGATAGTGAGAGACAAAGAAAGAAATGGATAACCAAAAAAAAAAAAAATGAAAATAAAACTGACCCATATCTTCTTCACAGTAAGTGAAGTGCAAGGCCCTAGTAAATTGTGCTGACATAGCTTAAACACTATGACTTTATAATCTGTCAACTATAATTACTTTTTTCACTTAATTTCCTCCTTTTCATTACCCCTTTCTTAATGCCTTTTATTTTGTTAACCTTAATCTATTGGATCATTTAAAATTACTTAATTGCTCTTGACAGAATAATATGAACATCAATTAAACATATTTGTTTATGTCTTAAGAAATGCAAACCATTTACAATTCTTTTGAGAAAAAGGTAACTTTCATTCAAAAAGAGGGGGAAGGATGCATATGAGAATTTGCACTTATTTGGCTAAAGCATCTTCTCTTTGATTTGAGTCCCTTGGGATCCATTTGGACTTACAGGTTAAAGATGCAGGCAGCTCATAGATTTCATAGAGGAAGTGATTAAGCCTCCAAAGGACCAGTCCCACCAATAATGTTTCTAGAATCACTCTTAACCAGAGAGGTAGCCTAAATAGAGTGATCAATCCAAAACCCGATTTTCTCCTCACAGAACGTGTTTCACACCAATCTCACAGCAACATATCTCCAAAGGCAATATATAAATACATAAGGGTGTCAATGGACTGATTTTGAGTTGAATCTGTTCAAATCAAGATCAATTTGGACGGATTGGATAGAACAAAAAGACAATGAACTGGACCAGTCTAAACTTAATGGTCTAAAATTTTTATTGGATTGGATTGGAACTGGTCATTCGTAATAGATTTATATTAGATTGGGTCCGATTGAACCAATATTTGGTCCGGTGTCAGTGGATCAGGTTTGTATTAAAACCAAGTTGAATGAACGGTCTAAACATTAAATGGGACTGGTCCATTTGTAATGGATTTATAAAACACCCTACAAATACGGAAGATATTTCCAATACACGGTTGAGAAAGACTTATTTATCAGCATCATCCAAGAAAAAAGATCAAGCCATAGAACGTCTTTTCAGACCAGACCTTCCAAAGAGAAACCCCTGTTTCCAAGTGTGCAGAAAGAAGAAAAAGAACATTTATAATGGCCACGGTCGGACTGAAATGTAATATTTTCTACGAGGTAGGGGTGATTTAGGAAACCAAAATAAAAAGGATATAAATGCCTCTTTCTTTCGTCTCTTCCCCGTTCCCTCGTAGTTGAAGTCCAGAACTTCAACCGAGCAGCCGATACCGAAGGAGAGCTTCTTTTAGTCTCATAATCTAGGGTTTAATTCATATTTCCTACTCTACTTTTCTTGAAATTTAATAATTTAAAATTAAAACATAGGTTTTATTGCCTTAATTCAATAGAAATTGTATCAGATTGTCTCCAATGGTGGAACATCAACCCCTTTCTGTAAAAGATGCTGTTCACAAGCTTCAATTGTCCCTCCTTGAAGGCATCTGCAATGAAGACCAGCTTTTCGCCGCGGGCTCTCTCATGTCTCGGAGTGATTACGAGGACGTCGTCACCGAGCGACATATCACCAAAGTCTGCGGTTATCCTCTCTGCAAAAACCCTCTATCCTTGGAGAGACCCCGAAAGGGTCGCTACCGCATTTCCGTCAAAGAGCACAAGGTCTACGATCTGCAAGAAACTTATATGTATTGCTCGTCCGGTTGCCTCGTCAACAGCAGGGCTTTCGCGGGAAGCTTGGCGACTGAGAGATGCTCGGTTTCCGATTCTAGCAAGATTAACGAGGTTTTGAGGTTGTTTGAGGATTTGAGTTCGAAAGATAAGGAGATTTTGGGTGAGGAGGGGAATTTAGGATTCTCGAAGTTGAAGATTCAGGAGAAAGAGGACGTGAACGTGACTGGGAATGTCTCGTTGGAAGATTGGATTGGTCCTTCCAATGCAATCGAAGGCTATGTTCCGAAGAACTGTGGTTCTAAACATCTCGAGGAAGGTAAACACTAAAACATCTCAAAAGTTCATAAATGTGTTTACCTGTGCTAATGTGATTACCTTCTTTGTCGTCTCTTCGTTATTGAACTTCTTCTTCGGTTCCTTCAGTTTTCTTCAATTTCAACTGTTGAATGTTAGAGGCAGTTTATGCTTGTTACCCTTATCCTTATCCTATTTGTTACTGGTTCTTCCTTTTCCTTTATTCATGCTGAATAGCATTAACCTATTGTTTGTGGGTGCTTTACCTTTAGCACGCACTTCCTTCAATTTCAACTGTTGAATATTAGAGGCCTACCTCTAGCATGCACTTTTTAACTGTGATGTCTCATTGCTTATTGCAGGGTCTAAACAAAAAATTGCCAAATCAAAGAAAGGAAAAGACAAGGTGGCGAAAGAGATGGATTTCAAGAGTACTATCATCATAGGGGATCAATTTAAAATTCCAAAAGCACCTGCTGCTTCTAATGGGTATGAACAAAATCTTGGAAAATCAAAATCGGGTGAAAGCAGTTGTGTCCCAGAAGAGTGGCTAAGCATTCTCAACCCATCTCCTGCTCCAGAGAAGAGTGGTTCTGGGATAACTGTTAAAGAATCAGAAGGGGAAATTAGTGGTAATGTCCTAAAAGATCATGGTATCCCGGGAAAGACTTTGTCTGGCCAAAATGTATCTGATACAAGTGGTCAAGAAACAAAAATAAAGTTAGATGTTGGAAAAACAATTCAATCTGGTGAAACCGCATTGAAATCATCCATTAAGCCTCCAGGTGCAAAGAAGTTAACTCGCAATGTTACATGGGCTGATGAGAGAGAAAGCGGTAAAGTGGGCAATGACAATCTTGTAAAGATAGCAGAAACACAAGAAACTGCTGTTAGATCAGATGGTTCAAATGTGGAGGATGAAGATTGTACTTTATGTTTTGCATCTGCAGAAGCCTGTGCTATTGCATTGAGCCAGGCAGCAGAAGCTGTTGCTTCTGGTGAATCTGATGTGTTTGATGCTGGTATTTCATGCCTGCTATTATAATTTGTTAGTAGTTTTAGTATTTTTATAATTTTATTGTTATATTCCATGGTTTAGCCTCATTATTGAAGTTGTTTTTGCTCTCTATCTCTCTCTCTCGTTCTCTCACTCTCTTTTTATGCATTTTGATTTACAGTTTCTGATGCTGGAATAGTTATCATGCCACATCCTCCTGATGCTGATGAAGGAGATACTCAGGGGGAGGTAGACGTGCTTGAATCTGAGAGGATTCCTTTCAGGTGGCCAAGAAGGCGTGTTGATTTAGATCCTCAATTTTTTTATTTTGAGGATATCTTGTCTGAACCACCAGACGGCTTTAGTATGAGTGTAAGTTTCTGCTTCCTCTTGGGATTACATGACTATAAATATTTCTTAATGAAATGCAGTTCTATTGTTCCTCCAATCTCTAGTAGGCTCAAGAATTTACAAAAATCTCACGTTTTATAGTTATCACCATTTGGAACAATATGGATGGCTCTGTTTGGATGGATAACATCATCTACCCTGGCTTATATATATGGAAGGGATGAAAATTCCCATTTAGAGTTTCAGCTGGTAAATGGGAAGGAGTACCCCTGCAAAGTTGTCTTTCGTGATGGGCGGTCTTATGAGATCAAGGAAACTCTTGCTAGTTGTCTTTCTCGTGCATTGCCTGGGCTTGTTGCAGATGTCAATTTACCAACACCGATATCTACTTTGGAGCAAGGAATGGTATGCTTCTAAGCTTTGGACCTTAGTTAGACCTAAGTTTATTTTCTTTGATGTGCAACTTGCTAGTAGGGACATTTAAATTCTTTGGTTTTGCATTTGTACAGTATATAAATTTTAATCCAGCATTAACCAAACTATAAATTATACATAAGTTTTGAGGCTTAATCTTATAGAAGATAGAGGGTTAATAGGGCCAATTACAACCAGCCCAAAGCCAACAAAAACCTATAAATTCCTTACAGAAAAGAAAATCTTGATCACAAAAGAAAAATTTGTGTGTCTGTTTTTGAATAAAGAGTGATTTGCCAACCCAGAAAACACCATTCCCAAAATCTTTTTCTAAACCTCTTCTTTTGTACTGTCTCCCTTCAAAGATTCTACTATTTCTTTCACACCACCTCTATACCTCTTCTGAGTAAATTATCCTTAGTCAGAGTCTTATCCAGCACCGCTGACCAAAAATAGAATGCCAGTTTGGATGGTAAATTTCTGATCCAAGTCCTATCACTTAGGAAGATTGAGGTCTCCTCCCTTGTTAAAAAGGATTTAACAGAAACTTTGCCCAATTTCTCAAAAAGCCACTTTCTTTTGTCTTCCCCAAAACCCGTCGTCCTTGAGTCATACAAAATCTGTAACAAACTGATCAAGGAAATCACCTCCGAGTCATTGAGGTTCCTCCAGAACTGAAGGTTCCATACACAACACCCATTTTGCCTCTCCGTACAATCAGCTACTGTTGAATTCTTGTTCACAGCAATCTCAAATGGATCAGGATAGAAGCCTTTTTGGTAGAAGTATTCTTTGGTAGAATCAACACTTGTGACTTACTTCAAAGAAAGAAGCCTTTTTGGTGCTTATCTTCTAACCAGTGCATGCTCTATAAAGTTGATGATGAGTCTTGCTACCACTTATTAATCTCTTGCCCTTTTATTTCTTCTATTTGGGATTGGTTTCTTTCTTTGTTGGTCGCAGGTGGACTCCTCCACCAAATGTGCAAAGCCTCTTTGACTCTTCTGCTGGTAGCTGGGCAAGGAAAAGGGGTAGATTGTTGTGGAGATGCACAAAGAGCTGTGGTTTATTGGATACTTTGGGAGGAAAGGAACCAATGGAGCTTTGCTGAAAAAGAGAGGAGTAGAGGGGCAATTGTTGAAGTTATCACTGATAGGGTGATTCAGTGGGTGACATCTTTGGCTATATTTGATGATATTCCTACAACAGCTTTGCTGAATATCTGGAAGGAAGTCGCAGCCTCAGCTCCTATTAGAACTGCATCCCATCCTGTGCGGACTCCACCAGATGCAGGTTTCACTAAACTGAACTTTGATGGTAGTAGTGAAGGTAACCCTGGGCCTTCAGGGATTGGAGGAGTATTCAGGAGTGAGGAAGGTACCGTCAATGCTATGTTTTCAGGCCCAATAGGAGAAGGAGACTCTCTCCGAGTTGAAACTATGGCTGTGTTGGAGGGTGCAAAAAGGGCTAAGGAATTAAATATTAGTAGGTTGATCATTGAAGGGGACTCAAAACTGGCTATAGGTTGGCTAGAAAAAGAGGATGATGGCATGTGGCACTGTGGCAGTACATTAATGAAAGAAGAAAGTTCAAATGGTTGACTCAGGGTATGGAAGTGAGACTGAAATGGGTCAAAAGAAGTGCTAATTCCTTTGCGGATGCACTTGCCAAACAAGGGGTGGGAAGTGTTCATATGTTCTGGGCTATCTTGTAATAGGGGAGACTTAAGAGAGTTTACCTCTCCCCACTCTTGTACTGCTTTACTTATTTTCTTCTTAATGAAATGGTTCTGTTGCTGATAAAAAAAAAAGATAGAAATTGCAATCAATTGCATTATGTGTGCATCGTTCTGTTGTTTCTTTTCCTTAGCTGTCCCAATATTTCAAGTGTTCTCTTGTAAGTGAAATTTTGCCATGCATATTTCAAAGACATAATTCTCAACTCTAACCATAATAATTATGCACATAACATATGTAAAACCATAACTGTATCTGGTAAGAGGGCATTATGCTTGATCATTTTTATCAACATTCAGATAACTAGATGATAGTCATGGATTTGATTGATAATCATTTATTGATTTTTTTTAATTCTTTTATGCAGGGCTGCTTACTTGATACAATGACATTTGTGGAAGCATTACCATCGTTAAGAATGAAACAGTGGCATGTAATTGTCTTTTTATTTGTTGATGCTCTATCAGTCTGTAGAATGCCTGCGCTTAATCCACTAGTGACAAGTAGGAGGATGCTACTACAGAAGGTGAGATGCACAGGATTGGTATATTATATAGCTTTACATCTTTATGTTTTCGATGTTCATCAAGATTTGCATCATGATGGTAATTCTGTGGAGTAGATACCTTTGCTGAAATCTTGAAACCCAACTAGGTGGATGCTGAATTTTATTCGGGTTGCTGGAATTCAACATGTTTGGTTGATTGTATATCTCTTGTTTGTGTTGAACAATTTTGATTTCACATCTATAGAAGTCATGGTTCTAATGTTTTGTATATTGATTTTTGTACAAGTCATGGTTCAAATGTTTAGGTGTATGTCTTATATACATTGCTGATTGCTCTTATGAATATGAGGTGCATCCTCAATAAATTACAATGGTAATGGAGAGACATGGTGCTCCACATTTCAAAGTAAAGGTTGACCACATCAATAGGTTTCTTCTAGAGTAGGTCATAGTTCAGAAGAAATGGACTATGATATTTATGATAATTCAATTTGACTTTTGAGAATTCTATTATCACGATAGCCTCTTTCAAGCAGTTGTATCTCTTTATTCACATCTAATCCAAGAGTTGATCAGTCAGCAATCTACATGCCAATAGCTTGCAATTTTTAATGTCACTCTGCAAATATAAATCCCATTGTACTCTATTGTTTGTTTGCAATGCAGTTTCATTTGCACTGGTGCAAAATCATGTGACTGCAAATGAGTTGTGTGCAAATTGTTGGGTTTACATTTGCTTTAGGTTTTAATTTTTTTTTTGTTTGTTTTCACTTTTCAGTGCAAATGAAGTGAAGTAAAACCTGAAGCCAAAGTGAATCAGTTGCTCCCCATTAATCAGTGGTCACATATAATGATCAGAAACAATAAACTCTAGTGTAGAAGTAATTCATTACATGATTTGAATCATTCTTTTGTTTACTGATTGTTGTTATGTTTTTATATGTAGATAGAATATGGACTGCAAATCGGGCAATCTAAGAATTGCACCAAGTTGCTTCTTTCTTCTTCTTTTTCCTTTTGTTTTTGAATGAAGACCTTTGAATTACTATAGCGGTATAGCCTAGAATATGAGGCAATTTACACTGCTATCCTGCAGTGGAGTTTTTAATTGCTTTAGTTTGAGGTTTTACTTTGTTTGGTATGTTTGGGCAGAGTAAAATTGGAAGTAAAATATGTGGAAAAATGAAGTATAAAGAAATCTGTTTATTTGGGAGGAGTAAAATGATATGGTCCTTACCTTATATTGAGAGAGAATAAAGATAGGAGGAAGGTGGTGCATATCTTACATCAGTATTGAAAGGGGTAGCACTCAGCCTTTACCGAGCCATTCTCTTGCAAAACTTTGGAAAGGTATCCTTCAAACCCAGAGCACTTTCATTTCTTTCACTAGATTTAGACAGGGCAACGGCAATCAAATTAGATTTTGGACCAACTCTGGTGGAGTAATATGACCCTATCAGAATCCTTCCCTTATTATTGCTTGTCTGAGATAAACAAGCTCTTGTTTCCTCAACCATTTTTAGGGATAATCAAACCTTCTCTTTCAAATTCAATTTCCATAGAGCCTTTAGAGATACAGATATCTCAGATGTGTCTTTACTTTTATCCTCTATTTCAAATGCCTTCCTATCTCCTTTCTCACAAGATAAGCTAGTTTGGTTCCTCACTCCAACTGGCCAATTCTGCACCAACTCTTCCATAAACTAATAGCTGACCCTTCTTTCCTGGACAAAAGGATTTTGGCTATCTTTTTCCCCCCACCCCACACCCCCCAAGGAATGCCTTTTTTGTTTGAGAAGCAGCTTGCAGAAGAAGCTTTAGGGAAAGTGATGCATCTCTCCTTATGTTTCTGTCTTATGCTATATGGATGGGAAATCAATAGGCCACTTCCTTATCAATTGCCGGTTTGCATGAAACCTTTGGCAATTTTTCTGGACTCCACTCATGAGGTCAGCTATAGTTGGACCCGTCTAAATTCAATCTGCAAATTCATTGGTCAATGGCACAACAGTAGACTGGGAAAAAGAGGAAAATTATTTTGGAAAGCTGTCATCCACATTGTGATGTGGGGAATTTGGGAAGAAAGAAGTAGAAGATTATTTGAAGAAAAATCTTCCCCCTTAGAAAGTATTAAGTGGACGGAGCTTGACCTATGCTGGCAACTAAACTGTTTACAGGCTTTAACAGAGGTGATTTACAAAGAAATTAGCAGAGATTCTGCTCACATCCCCAGCTCTCCCACTGCTGAAGTTATCCTCCCCCAGGCAGGACTGTGATTTCTTCCTGCAGTTTGATGGCAGTTTTAGAAGATTTCTTTCTAACCCTTCAGCAGCAGGGATCGATGGCATCATCCAGAACTTCAATCAAAACATTTGGGTTTATTAGTGGCTCTGTAACAGCTGTAGATGCTTTTGAATGCTCTTGAAGCAGAGACCCACTCCCTTCTTGAGGGCCTAAGGACTGCCAACTGATTTACACATTAGCTCCTTAATTGGGAAGGTGATTCAGAAACACCATCAAGTGGGCCAAAGGCCAGGAAGAAGGGCCTTGGAGGGTTGCCCACTTTTTGTCAGAGATTCATGAACTATCTTCTTTACTGAACTGCTATTTTAGATGGATCCCTTGTGAGCTTGTTAGGTAACTGCCTAACTCAGGGCTTTTCGAGGAAGCCTGCCTCCTGAACGAGAGATAGAGAGAGAGAGAGAGAGAGAGAGAGAGAGAAACTGAATTCCCAAAATCAATACCTCCTCTTCTGGCTTCCTTCCCTTATTTATAATACTTCCGTTACAATTCTGTTATATCAGCCTCTCCACTTGTCCAGTTTGTTATTTAGTTTGTTCGAGTGGTTGGCTGTCAGTTACATTACTTAAAGGCTGATGTTGCCTTTTCTTGTACACTTGTCCCTCTGTTCCCCTTATTTGTGTCTTAACAGAGCTCAATCATACAACAGATGGATCAACTAATTAATTGCTTGGGCCTTCATTTCAAGGCCTTTCTACATCCCTTGTATACATGCTTCCGTTTTTTTTTTTAATACAAGTTACCTATTCTCAAAAAGTTATTGGAAAGCAAATTTTGCAGTACAAATGAGACAAAGTGCAAATTTTTCATCAGGTAGGGAAGCAAATTATAGATGTAAGCTTTGCATCTGGTTTGAATTTGCACTGTAAATAGAGCCTGAGTTATTTTTGTTTTACCTAGGGAGAGATTTATTATTAATGCATTTTTTGGTAAAATAATGTTGTATTATTTATTCAAGTCAATTCTTCTTTTTCCATCTCGTTGTGGTATTCATGGTTTTGTTGGTTTGGCATGGCAGGTGCTGGATGGTGCCCAGATAAGTGGAGAAGAGTATGAGCTTATGAAGGATCACATCTTGCCACTTGGGCGCCTGCCCCAGTTTTCCACCCAAAGCGGTGGCTGATGGAAGGCAAAGTAGGAATTACGGATGATATCCTAGTTTTGCTGCAGGCCTTGTATTCTAGTGATGTTAGTATTTTTACCAATGTACAGGACATTGGTAAAAATTGAGTAGATGGAAATTGAGTAGATGGAATTACGGGTGCCTATGCAATTTGCTCTTACCGGACAATCTTCAGCAAAAATTGAGTAGATGGAAATCTACTTCTTGCCTATTGCAGTTTGGGGGTCAGTTCTCTAATCCACACCTATTCATTTTATGTCAGTCATCCTCTTCCAGCTGACTTTAGATGCATTTGATAAAGTTAAAGAAAATTTTGGTGGTTTACTGTGACTAATCAACAGAAGCGAAGCATTGGTGGTGTTCTTGGGATAATCTCTATTTTTTTTTTCCATTTAAAGGAGGATTAGGCTTTAGCAAATCAGTTAATAAGGCTCTTCTTCAAAAGCTTGTTTGGAGACCTTTAAATGAACACGACAAGTGGGCTGGGATTTGGAAGGCTAAATATTTAAAAAATACTGGTTAAGAACTGAAATTGGTTTTCATGTATTATATGCTCCTATTCTCTATGCTCAACTTTCCTTGATGATTTACTTGGGATGGTTTTACTCTGCATCTAATTTTGTCCTACTACTGACTTACTGAGTATTACTCAACACATCCCAATTGTTCACGCTGAATCTACTGTTAAATGGATTTGGATTCACCAGGACAGGAATTTTTCCACTCAAGAGGGCCTATCACCATCTATCTTCTCGCCATAATTTCTCTTCATCTCCCATTCGTAAAACTTTTCTCACCTGGGTCAAATCTGTTAATGTTGCACCTCGTTTCAGGTTGTTTCTCTGGAAACAGTTAAATGGCTTTGTGTTCATTAAAACAAAAGTTTGGAATTTAGCCGACTCTGATCTTCTTAAATGTCAGCTCTGTGATCAGGATAGTAAATCAATTGGTCATTTATTTAGTGAATGTCCTCTTGTGAAACATGTATGGTTTGGTTTACCATGTTCTATTAGGTTGCCTTCATCATCTGATGATTGATTTTACAATCTTATTCTGTTTTTGATGTGTTATGGTTCCAAATCAGAGGTTCTTGAGCTTATGAAATGGTTTGCAGTAGGAGCATATTTTATTTGGTCTGTTCAGAACAAGAAAATTTATGAAAATAAGCTGTTCTCTATTGATTATATTATTTCCAGAATCATGTTGTCAGTTGCTACTTAGTCCAATTTACATTCTCATGGTCAGTCAATCTTCGCATTCGCTAAATGAGCATCCATCGTCCACTATTACTACTTGTTTCCAATTTTTATGTCGTTTTGTGATGGAGTTGTCTATTCTGATAAGAGTTCCTTTGGTTTTGTATGTTGTAATGATGCTCAGTTTACATATGCAGGGGCGGGTTCTTTTGTTAGCAGTGGCATAGTGGAGGAAGCTGAAAAGGGTTTTGTTATATTAATAGACAATACGATAAGCCCGTTTGGGTGGACAAAGACGTGTATACTTTTCATAATCTGAAGTTATTGTTTGCCTTTATGCATAAAAAAGGGGATTTTCATTTACCCCCACATCATAAATTTTCCATTATTATAGTTGGGAATAATGACGATTAGGAGGAATTGATGCCAATATAAGGGAGGCATGCTGTGATAAGTGGGGGTGTTGGAAGTTTTAAATTGTTGAGTGTACAGTGAAATAAAAATTTATAGGATGGGTTTCAGTGAGATTTCCCCTAAAAATAATAAATAAAAACCACTGGATATCTAAGCAATGATGAGGGGCTCTATCAGGGTGTAAATGATCGAATTTAAATTGAATCAGGCAATATCCGAGTTCGAATCCAAATATCAAATTTGAATTCAATTTTGATTTTAATTTTAATTGTTTAATTATTTTAGATAATTAATAAATATATAAAATAAATATTTTATTTATATATAAAAATTATTTGTATAAGTTAAATATTATATATATATATATATTATATAAATATTTTATATATTATATATAAGAATAAAATAATCGGTCAAATTCGGATATTTATTAAATCGAATAAGGTCATATCTGAATTCGATTTTTATCCTTGAACAGTATAAATAGGATATCCGAATTTGATTAATTATGATATTCGAATTATTTGAATTTGATTTGATTATTGAATCTCAAATTCGAGATCAAATTTTCGAATACCCTAGACACCGCTAATCTTAGTCATCACCGATTTAATGACAAGATGAGGTCTGAATATGAAAAGAAAGAGGCCGGATTTGCATTCAGTTATTGGAACTGACTATGGAATACATATACGAAAGGCACAACAGTACAGGCAATAGTTTGAGTAGACCAAATTTTGCATCTGCTCAATGCTTTCGGAGGGCCAAGGCAGCCATGACAACCAACATCATGAAGATGAGAGTTGCGACAAAAGAGCCCACCAAAGCTCCACTGCTCTGCTGACAGAAACTATCGAATTGCTGGCAGATGGCTACCCAATTTGCGTTGGAGTTTCCAGTATGGGCCAAGTAGACAATTGCAGCGGCTGAGGAAGCTCCGGCGGCCGTGAGAGAGACCATAACCTCAAAACATGAACAAAATAGGATTCTAAGTTAAGAAGACGACAACCGTTGCTCGAGAAATGCAAATTATTAGTAGTTTATACTATAGCTTACTGTGTCCAAGATGAGTAGAAGTAGCTTTGGTCCTTCTGCGTGTGGGCGAACTATGCCTACTATAGAAAAGGGAAGGGAGAGAACAAGGAAACCAGCAGCTATGGCGTTTGCAATCACAAAAAACCTGTAAATATGCAAACATGTTTTGGTTATTTGCAGTGTTATAGCGGAAAGGAGGTAAGTCCTTAAAATAAAGAATGCCAAATGCAGCCCGAGTCTTTTTTTATTTAGAGAAGTCAATGGGTCAGATTTACCCGATTATATCAATTCTGATTCTGTGATACATAATTTGATCAAGACCCAATCCGATTATATGGTTAATAATATACAAAGGTCTCTTGGTTTTCTTGTAATTTTTGTTATATTTTATATCTGAAAAGTTAAATTTAAAAGACAGTATATAAGATAATTTTGGTTAATGACACTTGTTTTATCAACATATAAACAGTTTGTTATTTATTTTAATTTTTATTAAAGATTATAAAAAATGAAGTTCCGAATTGTATTATAATAGGTAATCATAGACGTCGAGTATAATCAAACCTGATTATCCTGATTAATAATTGGTTTGATTTTGGGTCTAATTTATAGAGCCGATTAATAATCGGTTCAAAACTGATCCACCCTGTCTGGAACCAAACTACCATCGACATCTCTACTTGGATTAACCCATTATGGTCCCAATGTTGGAAAGCAAAAAGACCCTTCTTTCTAACCTTGCTTTTTCTCAGCATTAGGGTCAATCCCCTGAGAGAAAATTTAAAATCAGACCTGGGTGGTTTTATTCTGAACCAGATTTGGCAATCCATATCCAAGTTGGTAATGTTTTGGTTAAGAAAAAAAAATTGAAAAAAAAACTTTTTTTTTTTAAAGAAGAAGAATTTTGAAAGGAACTTAAATCTGTTAGAAGTGACACCAAATTATGCCTTAAATAGAAGAGATGCACATACAGGAGAGCTGGGAGATCGCTGTAGCTAGCTTCAAACTGGAAGGCTTGAGTGAAAATGGGGAGAATCTGATCTGTTGTTCCCATGGCAATGCTGGCTCCAAGAGTGGCTCCAATAGCTAAGAGCCTTAGAATGAAGTCAAAAATGGCAAGCCCCTTCTTCCATCCTTCCCTGGCCGTCTTAGTGGCTGTTGTGGTGGCAGTCACCGGAGCACCGGCTGCGGCTTTTCCTTTGGCGTCTACTGTGGTGGATTCACCCTTAGCCTCATTGCCTGGCTCGGCAATGTTGATCGCGGTCGAATCGCTGTTTTTCATGTTTGTTTATGATTTTTAGAGGATGGAGAGGTAGTGGCAGAGGTAGAAGCAGAGGGGATGGAAGATAAACAAGTTGAGAGAAACTGAATGAAATGCCCCTGATGGGTGATGAAATTTATATAAAAGATAAGAGAGACAGAGAGAGTTGGTTAATGTATTTAGTTATCTTTCTTATTAATTTATATATTTAGTACAGAAAGGCATTAGGTGTTTGTACAGCTTGGGAAGCAGGGGAGTTGTTGTCACTTGTCAACTTACTCCACTTTGTGGGAAAAATTGCACCCATTCCTGTTTGTTTTGAGTGCAAAAGTTGATCAAATTTCTTATTGAAAGGAAATTCTTTCTTAGATCAAGCTGAAGTGTATAATACATGGATTTGTTGGAGTTGAAAATTAATGATGGTTATCTTAATCAACTAACTAAACAAATACCTCCCCCTTCCTAAACCAATTGACAAAGACCATTATCATAACTAAAATTCCATATTACCTAAAAGGATTAGATTAACATACTCATGGCCACTGGAATTTCTTATGTTATAGCTTTTATTGATTTTTGTATATTCTCAGCATCCTCTGCCCTCGCTGTAATTATTTTGGAGAAAGTACATTGGTTGGTAAGTGGGTTTGATTATTTTTCTCCTTTCAGGTGCCCAGAAGCACATTAGATATTGGATTCATATGCAGATGAGCTTTAGAGGATGATAAGGAGGAACCCATTTCCCAAACCAATAACTCCCCCAAGGTGAAGGCGAGATTCTTCTTTCTTTTTAATATTCTTTCTCTGCCGTAAACCCAGTGAAATGTTTGAGTATTTCAAGCCAGGTTGCTCTCAAGCAGGTTCTGCTGATGAAGCCAAGAATCAGTCTTTCCCATCTAAATAAAGGCTTGTTTGAATAGGCTTTTGCCCTTGAACTTCCTGTAGGAAACAAAAATGAGCCAAAAAGTGATCGGCATTTTGTGAGAGTTTCTTTAAAAAAAATGTAACAATCTAAAGACTTAAATTAAATCCCCAAAGAGCAAAGCCTAAAATTAGGGCTTTGGGCTGCAGGAATAAAAAAAAAAAAGTCAAAAAAGTGTTTTGAGCATTTGTACTAAACCATGTTCCAGAAGCTACTAGAACATATCCTTCTCTACTGCACGGTGGTGCAACCTGTCTGGTTTGGATCGGTCCTGGGCCTAAAAACAGAATTTCTGTCACCAAAGTTCTGTTGAATGGTTACAGTTAATGGGAGTTGGAACAAAACCATGGTGAGCCGTTCTTCATGTTTGGCGCTACAATGACGTGGGTAATCTGGAAGCACTGTAAATGTAATGAATCCATTTTTTATCAAAAGGAATTTCAACCAAAAAGTTATTATCAAACAATCTCAGGCCCCGGGTAGTTTAGTTACTTCATTCGCCATTCTACAAACAACTGAACTTCTGATCTTAATCCTATGCCTCATCCATTACCTTGAACTAAACCAGCATCCAGATGGCTGAAGATGAATATCGATGGAGCGGTTCGGTTGGATCTAACAAGGCTGGAGATAAGAGACCATAGAGGTTATAAGTAACCCTCTACAAATAGAAAGCTGTAGCTTTTCTTCATGGCATTCTTTTTGCCATTGAATTTGAACCTCAGTTTGGAAAGAATACAAATGCAAATATATATAATACAAATATATAAAAAATCATATAAAATACAAGATTTTGCACTCTACATATTTACATTTGTACTTCTTTCAAATGGAGCCTGAATTACTTTGTAGGCGATGCAAAGCAAATTATTGACCTCCTATTGGAGGACTCCTCTATCTCCTATTGGAGGTCTCCTCAATCGCTTACATCCATTCTCAGTTTTTCACGGACAAGCGAACATGATGGTTGCACATAAAATCTGGTCGGTCTGTCCAGAATTTTTGTCTACCATTGTACTTTTTGAGATTAATCTGAGATGAATGAATTTCTTTTTTTCTCAAAAAAAAAAAAAGTGGAAAAATACCTACAGGCCCAATGCAGATTTCTGAATTCCACTGCATAGCTATTTTCAAAATGTCAAAAACAGTCTATGAATTGGCATCAATTCTGAGCTGGCACCCACCCCAACTGTACTTTAAATCTAAAAATTCTGACCCTGTCCCAAAAAAATTGAAAGTCAATTTAAACCAGTCATAGCACATTCTGACTTTCTTGGTTTTTCACCAAACATAATGTCTAAGAGCCAGGATCTGCTCCTCACAAATAGGTGCCTCACAGGCACATCCACCATGCATTGAGAACATCTCTTGTGAATAATAGTATGGGAAATGTTCCCAATGCATGATAAGATGTGCCTTCACGGGAGATGTTCTCAATACATGGTGGATGTGCCTGTGAGGTGCCTGTGAGGCAGAAGGTGTGAAGAACAGATCCGGTCTCAATGTCTAGACTTTTTATGCAGGTTTTTCACCAAACATAAGGTCAAGATTTTCTACGTATGGTCCACCTTGCAAATCCAGAAGCTGCTAAGTAAAAGCCCTCCTAAACGAGCACCAAAATAAGGGTTTTATGCATTTGGGCTTTGACAGCATAGACCCTACAGCTTATCCAAATGCAACCTAACCTAAGTCAATGGCATAATTTATGATTAATTTATTTGTAGTTTTATTCATGTGTAAAAATCCAAATCTTAAGTATATAAAATAAACCTAAAATCAATAATGAATTAGGGGTGAAGTTAGGTACAGAATTGAAGAATTTGCTCGGGCTCTCAAGCCGGGCCCATTCAAATTAAAATAAAAAATAAAAAAATGCTCAACCCAAGCCGCCCAAATTGCACCCACTATAAATGGGTTAGTGTGGAATTTGCATAGGAATTAAATCAAAATTGGTTTATGTTGATTTTAATGTATTAATTCATAGAAGCTATTAATGATCACTTGATCTTATCATCATCTTTGTACCGATTATATGGGATCGGCTACAAGAATCCTATTTTTCCATTCAGTTCTATTTGGTGCCATATACATAGCAATTAAATCGTTTCTCATTACTTCAACCCATGTTCCTTGTGAAACAGGTAAGATGATAAAGATGTTCAGAAACTGTGGGACTAGAGAGAGAGATAGAGTGGTTTCAAGAGAAAACATGTGATATGATTCTACTTATTAGGAACATGTATCTCAAAGCCATACAAACCAAACAGATATTGTTGCCATTTTATTCTAAAACTATCAAACATCTCAAGCCCCTAGAGACATTTAGCAACAGAAAAAACAAATAATGATTCAGTTTAGTGTCAGCAAAAATAGGAAATACTCCCAACTGTATGTTGAGGAAAGAAATAAGTCTTCAATGTCTTTCTTGGTTGGTAAGAGTTGGTAGCATACACACTAGTTGCTAAAAGGCTGCAAATCTGAGCACCAATCAATTGAGGTGTGCATCTTGCTGTAAGCCTAGTATTTTCAATCTTAGGCCCACAATCTCCATCCATGCTCAGCAAGTGCTTCCCGCACTTGACTTGCTTCCAGTGAAGTATCTTTAAGAGGAGGGTAGCTCCGGCATTCAGATACATGAAAATTCAAACACAAGGTAAATTGAGACAGTTTGAATTTTTAACATATTGGCTGGAAAATCAACAGGTCCATCATTAGCTAATAAATAATGTCTATTTATTTGTTAATTCACTTTTTACCAGACTGATAACATTATGTGATTTATGTCACTAACATGAAGGTGCTAGCTGCTTCAAACTCTACCATACAGGTATGCCATACCCTAGTGTTTCCTAGGTGGTATAGCCCTTGACATATAGGTGCTAATCCTGGCCCAACCCATGACCACCCCTAAATGAGAAAAGCTTGAGAATAAACAAGCAACAGAATGAGCAACTAGTGCAAGCTCACATTCTTATACAGTTCTTTTTCTTTTTCTAAATTTTTACTTTAATTATGGATGAGCTGACTAGATATTTAGAAGAGAGGTCCCATACTCCCATGGTGTATGTTGTTGTTCATAATATAATCTCTGTTGATAAGAATAAAGATAGGCTAAATGCAAAACTAGAACAATTGACAGATGCTTTAGAATCAAAAGGTTTCAAGATAGGACTTAAAAATGCATGTATTGCAATTTTAGTAACTAAAAATATTAATAGTGGTAGTGGTGTAATTAAGGTTGATGATCAGGCGATACCCCAAACTAACCAGTTTTTGTACCTTGGATTGACCATCCATAATGAGGAAGAAATTAAAGAGAATGCTGCCTGTAGAATTAGAGCAGAGTGGTTGAAGTGCATCTTCTATGCTAAAAAAAGCAAGGGGAAGATCAAAGTAAATGTGGCCTGAAGTGGTAAAAAATCATTTTAAGACTTGCAATTTGACAGAAAATATGGCTCTTGGATTGACCATCCATAATGAGGAAGAAATTAAAGAGAATGCTGCCTGTAGAATTAGAGCAGAGTGGTTGAAGTGCATCTTCTATGCTAAAAAAAGCAAGGGGAAGATCAAAGTAAATGGGGCCTGAAGTGGTAAAAAATCATTTTAAGACTTGCAATTTGACAGAAAATATGGCTCTTGAAAGAACAATGGCAGGGCAGGATTTGTGTAGCTGATTAGAAGGGACTATTGCTTGGTTGAGTTGAATTGGGGGAGGGGGATGAGGTGGAAGAGCTAGAGACACTTCTGTTCACTGACACATCCATGCCCACCAAAGCAATCTTCACTATTTCAATAGGTTATGCACACCTCATAAGAGTACACAGGCTTCCATGAGAATAGCTAAATGTAATGATAATTATCAAAAAAAATGCTAAATGTAATGATGACAGAACTGCTTTCAAGCAATGAAATATGATTAATCAGGATGAAGTGCATTGGATTTTTGGCAAGGAATTTTGTAGTTGGAAGGTCAAGGAACCAGGTGGTGATTTTATGGAATAGAAAAAAAAATGGAAAGATTTTCATATACTTCAATGATATGTAAAGCTATTAAATTTACTAAAAATAAATTCTTTTCTGAAGCAGTAAAGAGAGAGTTTTCTATTGAGGTCAATTGAGAGCCAAATAAGCAGTAAACAGTTAGAGGATATCTTCAGATGTGGCTTTGCATCAAGTAAAAGCCTTGCCAAGAAATTTAATTGACAATTCAATACAAGATAATACCAAAATAGAATATAACATTATGGTTAAAAAGTTACATCCTCTTTACCTGTGAATGACCAAACTAAGCTTCTATCATGGAGAGAATTATGGAAATCTGAGAATTTCCATGTACACCTCTCAGCCCTAATAACATAGACCAGCTTCCTGAAAAGTACCGAGCAAAATAAACGAAAATAAACTGTATACTCGACCTTTCAAAAGTCAATAATCACTTTAACATAGAAGTGCTTCCTTCATACCCTGTGCTGAAAGCCTCACTCAACATACTTGGTGAATCTGCTCTGATGACAACATTAGCCCAAGCCAGATGACTCATATGTGGATTTGGATCTAAAATTTACCACATAAGATGCTCATCAGAGAATCTTCAGACACCGAGGAAAAGGTTTTCTTCATCTAATATGTGTAAAGGATAGAACAATTATGAATACCTGCACCATTCCAAATGTAGACCTTTGGCTGATTTCCAAGTACCAAGTTCTTTCAATAAGATATGGTTACCTATTGGAAGAAAATCACCAACCATGGTGCATATGGAACAGAAAATGGCAAGATGTGGTTATACATTCTAAGTGTCCTAGAGAAGGAAATTATGAGGCTTCCACAGTTTGCAAGGACAATATGCAGCGAGGCAGCTAACTGCTTAGCAAGGTCAGCACCATACCAACACTGGCCAAGGGCAAACTTTGGGTATAAAAATATATATGGGTAATCTTTTTTTATTACCTAGAAATCATGTGAAAGAGCAATGACAGAATGTTGGATCAACTTCAACTTTGTTATGAAAGTGGATTTGGTCCTTACTCCTTAGGTTCTAATTGTTTGCAGAATTTGCACTGCAATCAAACAAAATAAGGTAACAGATGAAGCAAAAATAAACCAGAATTTGCACTTACATACTTTCGCACCAGTGCAAATGAAACTGCACTGCAATAAACCAGGCTCTAAGATACCAGCTTTCCTTCTCCATGATCTATGCGAAATGCACATGCATGGTAAACAAACAGAGAAACTTGGAATTTTGGAAACCTGGGCTACCCAATAAACCAATTTAAAAATTTTGGGTTAGATTTTTTTCATCCTTTTCTTTCTCCCCTTTCCACCAATTTGTATAAACTTTCCAACATCTCCACTGCCAAAACCTAGGTCTCTCCTACCTCTCTAACACTTATCTATTGCCCTCAACTCTCCCATCAACCAGTTTATGGACCTCTAATAAGTCTAATAAGTACTCTACTAATGTATAAACCAGTGACCACCTATACCTAGTTGTAGACCTTCAACATTTCCACCACCATGGACCCTGCCCTTCTTATCAACCTCAAGTGTCGCCACCACCATCCTCAATCTGTCCCTCTTCAAAATGCAACTGAGCATTAAATCTGAGAAATATGAGCATGTTAATTGAATATTTTTGTTAGATTCTGTAAAAATAAAATAATAAAGATAATTTCATTTACCATATCAGGGTATGATCGACATGGAATTCTGGATATTTGTATTTCAATCATACAGAGAATTAGTTTATTGTTCGAACCAACCAGCCAAGGCACTGATGGGTTTTCATAACATGACAATAAACACTAGAATCTTCTCAAACAGAATTCTCAAAATATATGAATTCTAAGAATGTAAATAGACCTTCATCAAATGGTTTCAAGAGCTAGATTAGCCACCATCCTACCTAAAGGCAGCGGGCACTTTGTGACAATATCTAATCTAGAGAGATTTGAAGCATGTCCAAACAAAGAGAGAGAAAGCAAAGCCAGCTCTCCAAGAGACAGCCTGGAGGAGAGGAATCCTTGCCAATAATAAGGATCCAAATCAAAGAAAGCATCAAAGAACCTCCTTGTCCCATTCAAGTCAAGTTTCAAAAGAGTCTCCATCCCAAAAGAATAGAATTCCCTGATGCACCTTCTCTCAGTTGGCCACAATCCATTCCACACCCTCTGATACAGCTGTTTCCCTCTGATCATCCTGGTGGATCCTAGGCACTCGACAATTGCTTCAGCCAATACAGGAGCCAGAGCCATAGTTCGAGCCACCATGTACCCTGTAGAAGGGTGGACTAAACCAGCCGTCCCACCAATGGCCATCACTCTCTGAGGGATACGAGGGAGAGGACCACCCATTGGAATCAGGCACTTCTCGTCCTCAAAGACTCTTTTCACTCTGATACCCAAGTGCCGTAGCCTGGCCACCATCCTCCTCTTCACCTCCATGTAAGGCAACACCGGCCGGCTAACCAGTGAGGTCTCTTCAAGGAATATTAAGTTAGAGCTAAAGGGCATTGCATACAGAAAAGTCGGAACCTTGTCATTCCTAGCTCGCATGTAAGGCTCGCTGCCCATGTGGGAATCTCTCCAGTCCATTAGAACCATTTTATTTAGATCAAAAGGATGATCCTGCACCTCGGCCAAGATCCCATGAGCAATCTGATATCCATGGTTCCTGGGCTTATCGTATTCAATGAAGTTGCTTGTAAAGCCACTGGCATCGACTATCAAGCTCCCCTTCACCTCACAACCATCGTCACATGACACCATAGACACGAACTCCTGGTGCTCCAGCTCCAACGCTTTAGCCTCATGGAACTTGACTCCATGTGAGACACACCCCTCAATCAACCTCGTCTTCAATCTCTTCCTGCTGACCCGGCCATAAGGGCGGTCTAGATACTGGGTTTTCCGATCATCGACGTAGACAGTAGTCATAGGCCAAGTCTTATCTAGAGTATCCTCAAGGCCCATGCTCTCAAACTCATCAACCCAGACACCGTAGTTATTAGGCCACATGGAGAGGGGTGAAGGATCAATGCAACAAACTTGGACCCCATGGTCAGAAACTCGCTCTGCAAGACGGAGGCCGGCCGGGCCAGCGCCGATGATGACCACATCGTACTGGGAGCGTTCAGAGGGGTGGTGCCGGGGTAAATCAATGTCCAGGAACTCTGGTTTTGATTCAGGTTTCAGGTCTAGGAAGCTATCAAGCCTACTGCTGTGGATTCTCTGCTTAAGTGTTCTTGAAAGGCTGGGGATTCTGGGAAAGAAAGGTGGGGAGGTGGAGGAATTGAAGCTGGTAGGACTTGAAAACCTGGGAATGGGCGTGAGAAGGGTAGCCATGAGAGGTTGATATGAAATGGGGAAGAAGGTTGGGGAGAGTAGCCGGTTGAAAACTATTTAAAATTCCTATAGATAGTTGAAGTTGGAGTCATGGAGTGGACGTTGAAGGTGCGTGGACGGAACGTCAAAGCATCACACCAAGAAAATGGCTTCACTGTGAAAGATGTTCATGTGGCCAATCGCCGTCGGTTGCGCAAAAGATGTTTCCCACATGAGGGGATGGGCTGTGGGTGCGCGCCCATCCGAACTCATGAGTAATGCGAAATGGGATTCAGTCACTGCAATGCCCGTTCGAACAACTATAAGTATAGAAGTACGAAGATGTTCCCGATGGAAGGCTGTAAAGGCTGTTCGAATAGTGTTCGAACGGATTTGCATGTGAAAGCCACAACGCCCATGTGTTTGGTGGGTATATGCACTGACCAGATTAAAATGAAAATTAAAAATTTATTAATTTAGTGGGGCGGTGTGGCACCCTGTAGGCATTTAATTAATTACATCAGCAATGCCAACAGCCAACCATTACTCTTCATTCGTCGTGGTATATCAATTAGCTTGACGCTGGTATAGTGGGGCGGTGTGGCTCCCCCTGTAGGCATTAACCATATCACCAACGACAAATTTTTTTCTCAGGCAACATTGCAGGACCCGCGCCATTTCTGGGTTGCCGCAATAATTGACTTGGGTAAGACTGAATGGGTTTCAATATCAAAACGACCCCTTCAACATACTTTGGGAGCGTTGTGTTCATCAACCTACATGATGATTTTGTCATTGTCGTGATTGTAGAAACCATGGGCAGGCCTTAGAAGTTGTCCTACAGAGATGAAACATGGAATCCTAGATCCTGTGAGACAGGTGATAAATAAATAGGGTGATTGGACGATCGAGAAGTGAAGTGACGGTGAAGTTTATATTAGATTTTTTATTATCCCACTTTTCTTACTGCAAAAGAACTATTTGCTGCAGGCATTGTACTGAGAAAAGAGGAGGCAAGTAGTTGGGGCTTTCTGGTTCAGAATTTTATTTTTCCCAGTTCTAGTGTACAACCAAAGGGATTCATCATGCTGTTAACGTTCAGTGGGTCAAGTGAGAATGTGAGACCGGCATTCTGGGTGATTTCTCAGGTTTTCATTGATGTGAATGAATGCTCCTAAATGCACTGTTCAGAAACACGAGACAATAAACACCACTCTTTTTTTTTATTTCTTAAACACCACTCTTATTAACAAACAACTTGGAAGCTTAATTACTACTTTACTAGAACTGGGAAGTGGAAACATATGAAGGACGCATGTTAAGTTGTAAATTGTCAATCAAACATAACAATAAAATAATAAAATAATATACAGAAAATCCCGGCATTTGCAGAATACGGATCACCCACAAGAAAGTAATCAATACTCGCCCAAGATATTGTTCAGAGTTTCTGCATAGAGATGATCGGAAGGACCATTGCTTATCGGAAAAAAATATGATCAGAAGGATCATTTGTGGGGCCTCCGCAGACACAACAGATGTCACAATTCGCAAACAAAGAAAATCCAACTCCTCAGGCAGGTGAAGCATCCTTTTGAACATACAGTGGTGGTAACATTCTGAAATGTGGCTATTGCAGAGCTCAGAGAACTTCACAGAGCAACAAGATTGCATCAAGACCGGCATGAAGGAAGAGTGATGCCTCCACAACAAGCAGCTATGATAATGTACAGCAACACAACTATCAAGCATGTCAACATGGCCCTGCAATTGATGGGAAAAAAAGTAAATTTAATTCCTGCTTGGAACTGCAAAAGCACAAGTACTGTTGCTGTGACTAGAAGCCATTTATTCCATATGATTTAGATTAGTATGATGTTTAATACACTTTGTTGACGATCCATCATAGGCCAGTAATTAAGGTCTTAAAGGGTGTGGATGGTCAAGGATAGCTAATTGGAAGTCGTATATATATGGGAGTTGATAATTTTGAGGGAAGCATGAAATTTCCATACTTCAGTTCCATCATCCATGAACTTATTGGGTCAGGTGACTCAGGTCAATTAGGATGCCTAGATCATTCAATTAGTGCACAGCATCTTGATTTGGCTATAACCCAAAAAAGAGGCTAATCCAACAATTCAAACCATCAAATAAACCCCTCCAGCTCTTCAACTAGTTAGAAAAAGATGGTTCAGTCATACACATCCATGACCTTGCTGATTAAGCAGGTCAGACTCTTTTATGGTCCATGATCTGTTCATGGGCCGAGATCAGGCTTGGCTTTTGCCAAATTATAATGGGTCCAACCCAAAGCCCGAGCCTGAGACAGTGTAAAGTTGAGCCCAAAGCCTCCTGGCCCATAACCAGGTTCCAGAGTAAAGCCTCATGCCTCTCCTTGTTAACAATGCATTGGGAATGCCTCACGAATCCTACACTTACCCATCTTGAGCATATTAATTAACACAGCAAGATTTATGGGTACTCACAAGAGCTTGGCATTTTTCATCCAAAGAGCCCGGTGAAGACGCCTAGATTGCTTTTTGAAGTGAAAAGAACTGTCTTGCATTGTTGCAGTCTTGTCAACGAGAAGTTCAATCTTGTCACCTCTTTCGAGTATCTTCTCAATATTTTCCACCATGATACTGCGTATCTGAATATCAATATTTAGTTGTCATCAGTGTGAAAAAAAACACAAGGAAATATCAAGGCAACACTAATACAGAAAAAGTACAATACACAGCCATACTGTACCTAACATCCTATATGGCACCCAAAATACACAAGGAATCTCATCCCACATCTGAAGCCATGGAGCTATAAAATATGATCCCAAAAGTCACTTACCATTATATTAATTATTGGGAGGCAAAGATACAAACCCTGATGTAAGACATCATAAGAACACAAGGTTCCTTCAGCAAGACAAGCCTAGCGTTTGGTCTTGGGGACAAGACAAGACATCATAAAAACTTGGAAATTTAGGACTTGGGGACATAAAAATCAGCGATTTGGTTAAAGACAAGCCTAGCGTTTTAGGGATTAGGAATTCCAAGTTAAAGAAGTTAAGGCTGCGTTTGGTTGCAATGTAACTAAATTTGCACTGCTGCAAAACTATGCAGTGCAAATGATTTGAGTGTAAATTCTGACCTATTTTTGTTTCAAATTTAGTTAATTTACATTTGTACTGCAATCAAACAAAATAAAGACATGGAGCAGAATAAAGTAAAACCCAAAACAAAATTAAATGAGAATTTACATTTTTTTCATTTGCACTCCCATGCATTTGTAGCAAATAAATTTGCACTGCAACCAAACACAGCCTAAGAGTTGATATCTAGGGAACAAACAAAAGAACTAATAAAACAAATGATGTCGAATTAAAGTATCTAAAAATTAATGACTGACCTGAACCCAAAAGGAATGCATACCTGGTGTGCCTTACACCTTAGCCCAGGTGTGCACCTTTTTTAAAATTTTAAAATTTTTTTGCTTTTTCATATTTTTTCATAAATTCTTATGTGTTTTACACCTTTGTAATAGTTTATCAGCTTCTGAATTACCTTTTATTGCTGTTTGTAACAAAAACAGAGATCTTTCAAATACCTGAAGCCTTTAGGGGGGGTTTTATAGGAGTGGATCCAGCCAACAACTCTTGGAATTAAAATGAATCTTGTATGTGAGCTGATTGATAATGGAACCAGGTTTGTTTTGTAGATTGCTGTTGAAGATCATGATGCCTCCTCAAGGAACTCTCAAGTGCAACAAGCTTCTTACCAACATCAATCTGGGGAGGAGAGGCCCACTCAGGTGGCTTGTGCAACAGCACCCACGCCCAATGTCACTGGGCAAGCAGAGAGGGCTGCCTCTGAGATGGCAGGGGGTCTGAAAAGGCAAGGCTTCCCACTCTAGGACAGGCAGAACCACTGCAGAAACTGAAGAAGAAAGATGAGAAACGATGGGAGCCCAGGTATCTCAGTAGCCAAGGATGATTGAGAACCTCCTACTCAGAGGGGAGTACAGCGACCGGCAACTCTGCTGATTGCTCTGATGGCTTCATCGGGGGAAGGGCTACCATTGGTGACGGATGACTCTGGTTTTGAACAGAGACATTGAGGTGCCTAACCAAATTTCATGTTCAAATTTGGTGTCGAATCTTGAGGAGAAGTGGGCAAAGAAGATAGGAGGTTCATTGGATATTCCAGGTTTGGGTTGTGATGAGTTCAAGGCTTCAATGTCGAGCCCAGATGAGGGCCCCCTTATAGGTAATGAGACAACCTCCAGGGGCCACCATCCTTCTCCCCTAACCACTTAACAGTATTAGCAGAATCACCTACAATGGTAAAAGAAGACAAATCCCTTGCCTGCAAGTGCAGCCAAGATCTCTGCTTTTGTTGAATTAGAAAGCCTAATTGGACAGCTGAAAACCCGCCAAATGATTCCATCCCTCTTCCTAAAGACACCATCAATTGCTGCAGCTCCAGGATTGCCTAGGACACTTCCATCCAATGTTTTAAAATGCGGAGGCGTGAGGTGTAGTTCAGAGGGGGGGGGGACAAGAAAGAGGAAGAGGAAGAAGAGGAAGGAAGATCTCATTTTTCTTTATTTTTAATAAAAATCTTTGATGGAGGGGGTTGCCATGCCACTGCCAAAGGAAATCTTCAATATATTCAGGAATCACCCAACTGTACCCAATAAGGTTAAAGTAAGCAAACCCCAACCTTCGTTACTGGGCAATGGAGAAGTTGTTCAGCAGTCTCACCATAACCAAGACAAAGGATGCAAACATGAGGTGAGATACACAGTCTGCCTTTGTTCTTCTGAAGCAAGTTATACATGTTTATTTTCTTCAAAAAGGCCTCCCACACAAAGAAATGCTGGCGTAATAAAGGAACACTAAATCTTCTTGTACAGGAAGCTTGTAGTAGGATCTCCAAGCACCCGAGCATTGAAAAAGGAGTTGGTTGAGAACCTGCCAGCAGGAGCAGGGTGGAGCTTCCAAATATGTTGGTCAGGAATTTCTGGGAAGATGTAGACCTCTTTTAAAGAGTGAAGAAGGTCTGCATTTTCAGCTATCTCAGCTTTCTTAAGAGTCTTCTAAAGTCGAAGTTCCAGTTAATTCAAAGAGAGGAAACTTGGATGCACAAGGCAACAGTAGCTTCTTGGGAAAGAGAGAGGTTAAATTGCTGTTAATGACAAAGGAGTTATGGGTAGAAGAGATACCTTTACATGGATTTGTAGCCTTCACCCGGTTCAATTGCTGCTAATGACAGGAATCCAAAAAGCATCAGCTTGACAAGGGTATCTCCACAACCACTTTCCAAGAAGGCCCCGTTTGTTTGCTGGTATCTAACAGGGGGTAAGTTGGTCAATTAGGTAATTGACCCCAATCCCCGTGTTCTTATGCTGCTATACTGGGTCACACAGTAAGCGAATTTTCCGAAGAGCATCGGTTACCCGAGTAACTGATACCCTCCTGGAGGGTGGATAAGCCACAAATAATACTAAATTGCTAATCCCCTCCCACCTCTCTCTTTACCTGAGTAAGTGAAAGCGCACAAGAACACTAGCGCCGACCTTACTTGGGCAAATTTTGATCGGGTAAACTTACTTGCCCAGGTAAGACTATAAGAGAAAACTAAGGGGGGGGGCAAAAAGCCAAGTTCCCTTTTTTCTTTTGATAAGTAGAGACAAGTTTCTTTCCTTAGCATGCCCTAAGCCAAGACCCCAACTTCCTTAGGCTTGCACACTTGATGCCAACTAACTAAATGCTTTTTTTCTCTCAACTCCCTTCCCACAAAAAAAATCAGGTTGGAGTTTCTCAATTCTGTTTTCGACTTTAGCTGGTGGATTCAAAACATCAAGAGATAGTAAACTGGTAGACTAGCAAGAGAAGCCTTAATTAAAGTCAGATTTCCTCCTTTAGAAAGATGTTTTTTCTTCCAAGTAGCCAGCCTTGTTTCAAACTTCTCTACTATTGAATTTCCACCAAGGGGAATTCCCAAATAAGAGACTGGAAACTTCTACACTTTGCATCCTAAAATCTCCTTGAAACTGTTCACTAAAGCTTCATTTGTATTTATTCATGTATCAGTTTTTGGAAATATGTGGGAGTATCTTTTGAAAACAGAGAAGCTCAAGAGTCCTCAGATCCAAGGAAATCCTGGACAGGGAATCTTGGGCAAGGGTGAAAAAGGACTGTAAGGTGGTAACTGGCAATTACTAGTCAAGCTTCAAAGAGTTGTGATGAGTCAGACTTTTCTTCTGATAAGCCTGGACTATCTTCCAGGTTGTAGAAGATCAAAGAAATTGGCTGATTTTTAGAGGGAAGTGATGGTTCAGCCTAACAGCAGATGTGCGCTATCCATGGCTGGGGTAGAGGGGACCGAGGTAAAAATGTAGCAGTTTAACTGCTACATTTAGCTTAGTTTCTTATGGAATTTAGTTAGCTGTTTTTGGTGTCTTGCTTGTGTCTTAGTGCTGTTTGTCTTGTTCTTTTTTGAAGGCTTTGTTATGCTTGGGCCCAAGCCTTGGGTTTGGGAAGGTTCGGGCTTCGGCCTTTCTTTGGAGGTGTTTTGGATTGCTGGGAGTTTGTAATTGAATCTGATGGCCCTGTATACATCTTGTTTGCACTTTTTAGCTTTTTTATTAAATCTATACCTTACCTTTTTCAAAAAAAATAACAATTCTTACAAAAAAGGATCTCAAATGGTAAATTTTCTACAAAAGAAGTAACAATACAACTAATATTCGATACTTAATCATCAAATAGAATGAACAGAAACTAAAATCCCAAAACCACTGCCGTTATATATATGGGGCAAAAGTTTAGGTCAAAGGCAGCCCCTTGTATGGACTTGTTTGGGCTTGCCTCAAGGGGCCTTTATGGAGACAGAGGACCTATCTATTAGGATTGGTTTTATTTTTACTCTTTACTGATTTTGTTCAATTGATTGTGAGTTTTAAGTTCAGATGCAGTTTATACAGTATGCACATTTCACTTAGAATGTTATTGTTAGAGGATGGATTTGGCATAGATGGTCTAACTCCAGAAGTCTAGAAGAGAATGGCTGTGGTGGCAAGGTTGGTGGTTGCAGGAGAAGGAAAACAAAAAACAAACGGGAAAGATGAGAGGAGGGAGAAAAACCAGGTATCGGGTGAGAATAGGGTTAAAAAGCCTCTAAATCTGGGTGTGGGGCCCCTATTTATAGCCAATTGGTTCACCCATTTTCCAGAACTTTCTTATTTTAATCTTTTCCCATTGTACCCTTAATTATTCTGGAATGTTCTAACTCCTAATTAATACACATGCCTTTAATCCTTACTCTGGAATGTTCTGACATTTTGTTCTAGAACATTCCAGCACTTGAATGCAAATATCTCTCAATTAATTTGTTTAAAAGTGGTCTAGTCTCAATATCTTGATTGGACTTGCCTAGAAGATGAAGAAGCTTGTTGATTGGAAAGAAATTTTGAAGAAGAAGAGATAAAAAAAGACAGTATTTTCAATGAATAGATCTAAAGCCCCTAGGCCAGACGGTTTCACTATGGCCTTCAATCAAGATTGCTGGGAAATTGTGAAACAAGATCTAGTTGAGTTGTTCATTGAATTTGCAGAGAAGGGTTTCATTAGCCCAGGAATAAATGTGACCTTTTTAGCTCTAGTCCCAAAAAAGCCTGATGCTTGCCACCCAAAGGATTCCAGACCGATCAGCTTAGTGACCAGGTTGTATAAGATTATTGCTAAGGTCCTCTCCACAAAGTTAAAAACAATTCTTCTTGCCTTAATCAGCCAACAAGGGGCTTTTGTAAAAGGGAGAAAAATAGCTGATCAAATCCTCATTGGCAATGAATGTGTGGAAGAAATGAAAAGATCTAGGAAAAAAGGCTTTGTATGTAAGTTGGACCTTGAGAAAGCTTATGATCTGGTAGATTGGGCGTTTTTAATTGAGGTAATGGAATTTTGTAGTTTCGGGGAGAGATGGTGTAATTGGATCTTTGGATGCATTAAGACTTGTCATTATTCGACTCTGGTCAATGGGATTGTGAGAGACTTCTTTCCAGCTTGTAGAGGTTTGAGGCAGGGAGACCTCCTATCACCCTTTCTCTTCACCCTAGTTGCGGATGTTTCGAGTAGAATGATCTATAAGGCTAAAAGGGAGAATAGATTTAATGGTTGGAAGGTTGGTAGGGATAGGGTACCGGTTACTCACTTACAATTTGCAGATGATATTATAATCTTCTGTGAAGGGGGAGATTAACTTTTGGCGAGAAATCTAAAGGACTTGGTGAGGAATTTTGAACTTGTCTCTAACCTTAAAATTAATCTTGAGAAGAGCCATATTGGGGGAATTAACATGGAGGAAGGAGATCTTACAGTTGTTGCAAATGTCCTAGAATGCTCCATCTCAAGTTGGCCTCTGACTTACTTAGGACTTCACCTAGGTGCAAAGCCTAGAGAGACTACATTTTGGGTTCCAATCTTTGAGAGGCGCCAAGAAACTAACTTGGAAAAGAAACTACATCTCTATTGGGGGTAGGGTTACTTTGATTAAGTCCACACTTGCTAACCTGCTAATCTACTACTTGTCGGTCTTTAGGATCCTAAAAAGGAGATAAATAAGATAGAGAAAATAACGAGTGACTTTTTGTGAGAATCAGGAAAAGGTAAAAAAGATCACTTGGTTAATTAGGAGACTGTGTATAGAAGTTAAGAAGCAAGAGGATTGGGAATTAGGAATGTGGATAAAAAGAACTTGGCATTGCTAGGAAAATGGTTATGGAGGTGGCTACGGGAACAGGAGACTCTGGCATAAAGTAATAGCCAGCATACATGGAAGGTTGGGGAATGGCTGGGCTGCAGGTGTCTCTAACAGGGCTATGTTAGCATCTTCATGGAAGGCAATTCATCATATTCTGCCCATTTTCCTCTAGTTTGTCTGCTATGACGCTTGTTTAGGGGATACTATTAAATTCTAGGAGGATATATGGATCGGGTCTTACCCGTTGAAGGATCTCTTCCCATCTTTATACTCAGCTTCCTTGTACAAAAATGAATGCATTGCAAAATTTATTGCTCCCCCGATTCTCCCAGTGGACCATAACTGGGACTTCGGCTTTCGTAGAGGGTTTAAGGGATGACGAGTTTAGAGCTTGTACGGAGTTGCTTCAATTAGTTCAAAATGTATGCCTTGATCCTAATAACTCAGACAAGCGTATTTGGGCCCCTCAACCTAATGGTCTGTTTTCATGTGCCTCCTTCAAGTCTCTTTGTAATTATTCCCCCTCTCCTTTGTTCCCCTTGAAAGAGTTCTGGTGCAAACCCATTCCCCCTAAAATAAGAGTTTTTTGTTGGGAAGTAATTCAGGGAAAAATTAATACCTTGGAAATGCTACAGAAGAGGAAACCCAATTTATGTCTCTCTCCTAACTGATGTGTCTTGTGCAGATCTGATAATGAGAGTTGCCCTCATTTATTGATTTCCTGTTCTTTTGTTGCAAATATATGAAATTGTTTTTTTACTTTGTTTGGGTACAAGTGGTCCTTACCAGTGGAGGCTAATTTGTTGTTTGATCCTTCTATGTTTACTTGGCCCAAAAAAAAAGAGGGGAAGGATAATGTTACAACCGTAATCTATCATCCAAGGGCCTCCTAAATATTGCTTTGAAGTGGTCCACGAATATCCTGGCAATTTCATCTTGATTTGTTATCTCTTAACCATCTACCTCCAATCTAGCCACAAAATTTTTCCTCCTCCCATTTGCCAAAGTATGAAAGAATTTTGTGTTACCATCACCTTCTTTCAACCAGTTGCACCTTGACTTTTGTCTCCAACTAATTTCTTCCCTTAATAAAACTTCTTCCAAATCTTTCTTAATCCTAAACCTCAATTCTCTTTCCTCCTCTACCAAGATTCCTTGGGCTTCCTTCTCATCTAACTCCTCTATCTTGGACATCAAAATGACCTTTTGTTCCTCAATTCTCCCGAAATGATCCTTGTTTCATTCCTTAATTTTCTCTCTCAATCTTTTTAGTTTCTTATGAAATCCCACTCCTTTCCACTTCACCCCCTTAAATCCTCCCTCAACCAACCTTCCACTTTCCGTACAAAATCTGGGTGTGTGAGCCACATGTTTTCAAATCTGAAAGGGGTGGGGCCTCTTGGAAAGGTTTCTAAACCTAACTTGATAGGACAGTGGTCTTACAGTTATCTTTTAAGTCAACATTTTATGATAGAACATTATAAACTGAAGGGGAAGTACCATCTTATCTTGCACCCCTTTAAATATTAATATGAAATAAAGGAGGAAACCCTCAAAACAACAAATACTGCCTCATTTTAGAAAAAGAAAACAGGAGATTTCTTTCTCTTAGGGGTTTCCGTTTGCATCTAAGCAAGAAGAAGCATTACATTATGGTGTTTTATTATTAGAAATTGCAAATATAATTTTTTCTAATATCCTCTGAATTCGATTTTTTGGAAGGTTTCTATATTTTCTATTTTATAACTTTAATTATTTACTAATTAAAGGATATGTGTTCAAGAGGCTTACAACTCTTCTGTTCTGGTTTACACCTCATGACTCACATCCATGTTTTAAAACATTGATTCAATAATTAACCACTAGAGTATTATGGAAAAGAACCATGATGACTTTTTATATAATAACAAATAGTATTCTTCATAAAATTTTCGAATTTTTATCATGTTAGGTGATACAACAAAATTTAGGTCATAAAATTAAAAAAAAAAAATGAGAAAATGATAATCCAGCAACAAAAGATACTTGCCTCACCAACTTCTCCTCTCACACGGTTAAGAGTATCTGCACTGGGATTACTGGAGAAGAATTCCATCTGTTGATGTAAGACCCTTGAAAATTCATCATTCATTGCATAAGCAGGTGCAATCTGAGCCACCCTGCCATAATTTTTCATGAACCTCATGCGGATATCCTCCAAGTAGGAAAACGGAATTCTTCCTGAATTAAAACATGAAAGGTAAAATAAAGTCACAAGAAATAAATAAATAAATAACAAAGAACATCAGAAATGTAAGAGGTGTAAATCCATGAGGAATATTGAAAAAAGAAATGAAAGAAATAATTTTGTCCTAAGTTGGTCCCAGTACGTGTAGAGTAACAATGACTAAATGAAAATAAATTAAAAAAGTTATAACAAATTAAATAGCACAGGAAGAAATAAAAACACATTATAGAGAACAGAGGGAGCATGGCTGACATAAAACAAACAGCCTATCTCAGTTCAGCATGAAAGAAACATATACAAGAACATATGGATAAGAATGAAAATGGACTTTTTTATGGGGGACAGTGAGGAGATAGCAATTCCACAAGTGCCCAGATTCACTGCTTGATTCAATTCCATAATGGAGTAGATTTTAGAAATTAATTAAAAAGTGAAGTTCATTCACTCTGAATGGCCAGACCAGCTCCCTTTACACTCAAAAACTACACTAGAAGTAGTTTGGCCAAGGAATCAAACATCTCATTTGCTGAACATCAGATCCAGTGAAACAACGTGTTCCCTCTAGATTTCAAAGACCTAGACTCTCTCAAATAATGTCTGTAGATCCATGCCTTTTAAAACATTGCAAACAAGTGGTGTGGTTTCCCAAGTTTCATAGAAACTTATAAGTCTAGAAATTAGAGGACATGGTAAAACTTTTCTTGAAGCTTCAAGGATACATACAAGCTTCCAAGTAGGTTGTCAATCATACGAGAGGCCATGTTCGTCTATATTTTTTTATGGGCAGAATGTTGGTCTATTTAAAAGTATCACCTTTATTGATTAAGAATCAAAATTGAAGCCTACACCACTCAATTCTAACAAGCAAAATAGAAACCTTGCAACCTGAACAAAATTAGCCTTATCTAATAGTATAGATGGCGAAGTTTTTTTTTTTTTTGAAAGGTAAGGTAATTTTATTGAATATTGAAGAAAAGTTACAGAAGAAGTCAGTCCACTATGGGAATGGCTAAAAATAACAAAAGTTACAGCCGCCAAAGGGACTGAGTCCTGAGTTCCTGGACTAAATTTACATGATTGAATGCTGGATTAACAGCAACCCAAGACACCAGCTTGCTGACAGCACCCTGCACATTCTCATCAGGAATTTTCTTTTTGTTGCAGAAAATTCTGCTATTTCTTTCATAACAAATAGCCCAAAGCATAGATGTGGGGATGGCCTTCCACACCAGTTTTCCTTTTTTCTTCAAACCCCTGATCTTCCAGCAGCATAAGATATCTTTGACAGAATTCAGCATAACACCCACAGCACTAAGGAAGTGAAGCCACACCTGGGCAGTTACAGGGCAGTGTAAACACAGATGTTCTGTAGTTTCAGGCTGCTGACCACACAGACCACAAGAGATGTCTGTCAACTGAACTCCTCTTCTTACAAGATTGACTTTAGAAAGACATTTGTTGAGGAACCCATATTAGGAAATTGACTTTAGAAGGGCTAATTGGATTCCAAACCTGCTTATCTGGAAAATTCACAGCACCTGAACTGTTGACCTTGAGAGCCATAGACTTAACCGAAAAGCACCCATCTTTACTCCACTTCCAGTTCCATTCATCCTCCAAACTGATGTCAATAAATTGATCTTGTAATGTAGCCAGCAGTCCCAATACCTCTTCCATTTCCCAGTCATACAAATTCCTTCTAAACTGAGGAGCCCAAGTTACACCGTTCTCCGAAATGGAGTACAAATCAGCAACCAAGGCATCTTGATTTGCAGCACATTGAAACAAAAGAGGAAAGGACTCGGTGGATTCTCCTGGCACCAAGAGTCCTTCCAGAATCTGATTCTGTCTCCATTACCAACTTTGAAGGTTAAACCTTCACCAAAAGAGATGTGGCTGCAAATACAAATTTTGACTGAAACTTTTGATCAATTTACAGTATTTTTTTATCAACTTTTGGTATATTTACAGTATTGTGGTTTAAATTTTATAAAACTGAATGCCAGTACAAGAAGAAATCAAGTTTATTTTCTAACCCACCAGGAACGGGTTGCTGCCAAATTTTGTATATAAACTTATGTACTTCTTGTACATTACCCTTGTACAGTTCTGTTTTTAAGCAATAAAGTTTCAGTAACCAATAATAAAAACAAGTTTATTTTTTCTTCCTATTTTATATTTCAGTTCTTTTGTAAGTAAGAGTTCATACGTATTCATATAAGAAGGATGAGAAAAACTCTCACAAAATGTACAGCCACTTAAGGCAAAGTATCATCGCCATCTTCACAGGAGCATATGCATATAAGTATGTTATCTCCATACATCAGAAAACAAAGATTCAAAACATTACAGGGGGCCAAAGAATAACTTGTCCCAATGATTCCTAAGCCGATCCTCTCTAATGGTCTAACCCCAACAAAGTGCTGTAGCACTCCACCCCAACTTCTCAATATCCACTCAATTTTACGAAACTGATCCTCTCCCAATGTTTCAGTATTTTCATTATTTATTTTACTCTTATTTTTCTGTTGAGAAGGGTAGAAAAAAAAAGATATACATGAGATGAGAGGATGTAAAAGAAGCACAGGTCTTTACAACAAAAAACAAAAAGCTCTTTCACACATCTGGAAAACTATCAGCACTATACAGAAAAGTCATCTCAGAACCTGATTTATCTAAAAACTCAGATCTTTGACTAAGCTCTCTAGGGATCCATCTGAAACAGCAACCTAGAAAGGAGTGAAGGAGGTGAGCTCGCTATTTCAAGAAGAAAACGACCAAGTTTCCAAGGGCTATTGCCTGAATTGGTGGCCAATCACGTTCTTGGAATCTCCTTCAACAAGTATGGAGGTCGACTGCATAGCTTTAGCAACAAGAAGGGCTATTTTGCTCTGATGTTTTTCTATTTCTTTCATGTCCACCCTATTTGTTTAGTGTCTTTTCTACTCTATTTAGCTTGAAATTAACAGAATTTTATTCATTATGATTCTTATCTTGGTTTCCCTCAAAAAAATACTGTAACCTTGAAATTTCCATTACAAAAATAAACTCATGATGAACTGCACATATGCCATTTCCACAGAGAATATAGAGGACATAAAACATCAGAAAAGGTACAATCTAGAGGTTCTTATAAATATGAAGATGTAGGTCAAAAAGACGCTTGAGACCTAGCATTTGAAAGTCTGCATCTTGCTCAGATAGATTCAATATCAGCCAGCCTTTGAGTGATACCTTAGAATGGAGTGGAGTGTGCAGATATGAATTGAATCATAAACATAGTTTTCAAGGAGCCAAGGCGAGGCTAGGCAACAGGGGGGCACCTTGTTGCCTAGTCGCCTAGGCGATGGATTTTTTTAAAGTAAAAACATGTATCCTAGGGTAGTTCCCTAGGTTCCATAATCATATTTCCTTAATAAATATCCATAATTTTCATAAGAAAAGTATAAACTTCATGTTGAAGTATAGAAAATCAACATATTCATGAGAAGAAAAAGAAGAAAGAAAAGAAAATTCAAAAAATACAGATTAGTAAAGAAAAAGAAGAAAATGTGTTGATTGGACAACATTTTATGTTCTTCCTTTCTTATTGGTTCAGATTTTGAAGTCTATGAGGGTTCAATACAGCATTCAGCAATGTTTGTATGGATTAAACCCTAACAAATAAGAAAATAATAAAAAGAAATTAGTATATAAAACACACAAATAAATATTTTAGTTTAAAAATGTCTATTTTATAATAATAACCTAAAAAGTTAAGAATATAAAAGCTTTTTATAACACGCTATAGAAAACTGCTTGGCAATTAGGCGAGACAAGCCTTCAAGAGTGCCTTGTCGCCTAGGCGCCTTGACAACTATGATCATAAAGCTTGTCTTTTTGTTGCATTGGGAAGCTACCACCCAAAGTTAACTTTTTGGGCATGAGCACGAATCATAAATCTTTTGCTTATGCCCATAGAGAGAGGTACTTGGGCTAGGCTTGTTTTATACCTTCTGTCTCATCTCCAAGATTAATAAAACTTTGATCAGTTACTGATTCGAAAAACTTGGGGCACAAACTTATCCAAAATACACACCAAAAAGAAACGGAGTACAAAACTTTATTAATCACAAAATGGCAAGACCCCAAAAGAATAAAATTTTGAGAAAACATTCATTAACGAAAGAGCCAACCAAACAAACAAGGGATTATGAGATACCAAATTGGCCAACCTCAAAGTAGACACCTCCCACGGGCCACGACCTTCCGTACCACCCGTATAACCAAGTATAACAGAAGAAAAAGAAGATAATCTCCAGTCCAAATATTTCAAAATTTTAACCAGTACCCTAAAATTAAGTTTCTTTATCGAAAGAAAAAGCAGTTCTAAGAATTAAATCAACTGAAGAGATAACGGGCTCAAAACAATGGAACTATGCATTAAAATCCTAAATCCCCGATAATATAATCAATCCGATTTTACAATTTAGAATGGATTACTCATGAACTATGCCCAACAACTCATCCGCATATGGAATTCGTCGTCAATAATACACAATTAAATAAAGAAGATTATCAAGTAATCAAAAATTAGTAACAAAAACACAAACTTTTTAATGTAAGAAAGTGAATACCCACTTCCGAAGGTGTCGTTCGCCATGCAGAGAAAGGTGAGACCATCGGACCTCAGTATGTGAAATATGTACCGATCCTGCGAGAAACAAAGCCTGGAATCGTGTTCTGAGGGTAACTTCTCCAAGATCCTTCGTGCAACGGCACCAGTGTTTCCGGAGACGGCACTGAATTCAGCAAGAACGACGGTCCCTCGCGCCACCACTGCATAGAGAATCGCCATTGTTGCAGAGCTTCGGGACTCTGTTTTTTCTATATTTCCGTCTTCGACGGATCAAATCACATACTAAACCTTTCAGACCTCAGTCGAAAGACAGAGAAGGGAGAGAGGAAGGGGAGCGTTGCTCAAAAATGAAAACCCGCTCTGTCACCGTCCAGGCGCCCACCAGAAAGTCCACGTCCCAGTCTAACTCCCAGAAGATCAGCTACTGCTGAGATCTATGGTGAAGCGAATGGACTTACCTTGTGATCCTCGGCGATTGAGCTCCACGACCACGAGTCCCCTCATTTGAAGTGTGGATTTTAATTCAGTGGAGAGTCCATTGAATCAGTGATTACTTTTAACACGTCAGATTGGAATCAACTTGACCCCGACAGCAAATTCCGTTGCAACTTTGAAGGTTGTGTTTGGAAGTGCCTTTTGTTTCTAAACGGACTTTTTAAAAATCACTTTTTGAATAAGTGTTTATTTTTAGAAAAGCACATTTGAGTGTTTGACTTGACATTCAGGGCTTTTTGAAATATAGGGTAGGCGGGGGTAGGGCTGTCCGTATTCGAAAATCGAATTTCAAATTTGAAATTTGAGATAATTGAATTGAATTCGAATTCAATATGACCTAGTTCTATTCGATAAATAATTGAATCCAACCAGCTATTTAATTTTTATATATAACATATAAAATATTAAAATGTTTTGTATAATTTATATATAATAATTAAATTATATAAATAATTTATATATTTATATAAATAAAATATTTATTTATATATTTATTAATTACCTAAAATAATTAATTGATTGAATTCGAATAAAATTGAATATTCAAATGTTTAATTGAATTTGAATTCAAATATTAATTTTCAATATCCGTTGGATACTGAATTTTTTAATCAGATTCGAATTCGGATATTTGCTTGATTCAATTCAAACTTAATTCATTTACACCCCTAGGGTTGCAAACAGACCGAATCACAATCCGATCCAATTATACCATATTTTGATATTCCTTATTGGATTTTCAAATTAAATCATATCACAAAAATAGGATTCATTTTTTATGAGGGCATATTTGACTCTCCACTGACATCATGACACGTGGCATTTCAAAAACAGATGGATGACTCCTGGCACCATGTAGGCGATGACTTGCCTTAGTCAAAATGATGGAGACCTACCTCTAGAGACCTACTAGAGACTTGGAGACCTATCTCCAGAGACCGACCTCCAAAGACCTACTGGAGACCTGGAGACCTACCTTCGCCGACCTAGAAACCTAGCTTCGAAAACCTACTAGAGACCTAACGACCTACCTCCGAAGACCTACTGGAGACATGGCAACCTACCTCCATCAACCTAGCGACCTACCTTTGGAGACACATGGCATCCAAGTGACACATCAACATTGAGTAAGCAAATCACCCCAGCAGGTTGGCTAGTAGCACCTCGCCTATGGTCGATTTAAAGTACCTCGGCCTGGTTGACCTAAAGGGCATCCACTTGAAGATCGACCTCCTTTGGAGATCGGTCGAGCTAAGTAGGGTATAAGTGACGACCTACAAGGCGTGCTCGCCAGCCTATTACATAGATTTGTTATCAAGACCAAGCTCTTTAGAGTAATAATGCTCGACTGTTAGGCCAACCTACCTATGCCAGAGTTATTCGAGCGAGCCGTAATGCCTGCGCAAATCATGTAACTGACGTAATAACTCAGCTAACTATGTGGAAACGGCTCTGCGAGAAGATGAGACCTGTTGTAAGGAGTCTCAAACCTTTGACACCTATATAAGGTGCTTATTTCTACCTGTGAAGGTAAGCGCGAATATACACTCTTAAGCTCTCCCAATTTCTTAAAGAACTCTCAAACACTCTCTGACTTAAGCATCGGAGTTCCCTCCCTGGGTAAAGACAACCTAGGCACTCTAATCTTCCTTCTTGCAAAATATATCAGCTCGAACATCTCTAGCTTGGCCTAGCACAACTTGCCCAGACAAGGAACCACTTGAATCAACATTCGAGTTGCCTGACATGAGGGAGCAGCTACATCGCGCGACATCAATTGGCGCCGTCTGTCGGGAACCAACGCAAAAGCTATGTTCTCACCCATTCTCTAAGCCTCAAGTAATGGCATCCTTAAGCAAACAACAACAACACCTGGATCGAAGGAACCCCCTAGGGGGCAGAATCAAAATGATTAGCCTAGACAATTTCTTGTAGTTTTGCCTAGACAGAATCTCCCTAACTACGAGGCCACCCCCATAGGTCGAGCCCTACATGCTCTCTACGAGAGTTGATGGCCAACAGAATGTGAGGCCACCCCTGCAAGTCGAGCCCTCCATGGTTCCCGTGGGAGTTGATAGTCAACAAACTGTGAGGCCGCCCCGCATGTCGAGCCCTCCCATGCCCTACGTGGGAGTTGATGGCCAATAGGTTGTGGAGCCGCCCTCGCAGGTCAGCCCTACCAAGGTGACAAGGTGTCTGTTTGTAGGCTGAGGTGCTAAGAGCAAACTAGATTGTTAAAATTTCGATGACCAGACGAAGACTTACTTTGGTGACCTGAATGAGCCAGTCCGGACAAGCCTCGTCAACCCTATTCACGAGGTCTCCCCTACAAGTCTAGCCCTTTGCAGCTCCCGCAAGAGTCAGCGACCAACTAACACAGTCGCCCTTGCGGGTCGAGCCTTTCAAGGTTCCTATACGATTTGGCAACCTAAAGTTAGTAGAGCTGCCCCCGCAGGTTGATCTCCCTATGGCTTATCGTAGGAGTAGATGACTAGCACCTCCAGGGACTAACACAGTGCAGCCGTGGCACCAACTTTCTATTCAAATGCCAACAGTGACACATGTATCACAAGGGGAAGCCAAACCACTTTCAACATCAAACCCCCTTAAGCCGACCTCAAAATGTCTTTATAACAGGTAGGTCGACCTATGCAGATTGGCCCCCCATCTATCCAGCTTGGCATCATTTTGACAGCTAAAATTATAATCGCTTTGGCGACCTGAACTGATACTTATGAGCTCATCAAACTAGTCGCTCTGGGCCAAAAGACCTACAACAAGCTACTCCCTTCGCTGAGTTGACCTTAGCTCGGGAGTGGGGGCAATTGATGAGGGCAGATTTGGCCCTCTACTGACATCATGACACGTGGCATCTCAAAAACAGTTGGATGACACCCTGACACCATGTAGGCGATGACTTACCTTAGCCAAAATGATGGAAACCTACCTCTAGAGACTTGTTAGAGACTTGGAGACCTACTAGAGACTCGAAGACCTACCTCTAGAGACCTAGTGGAGACCTGGAGACCTACCTTCACCAACCTAGCAACCTACCTTTGAAGACCTACTAGAGACCTGATGACCTACCTTCACTGACCTGGCGACCTACCTTTGGAGACCTACTGGAATCCTGACAACCTACCTCGGAGATGTATTGGAGACATGGTGACCTACCTCCGTCAACCTGGCGACCTACCTTCGGAGACACATGGCATCTGAGTGACACCTCAACATTGAGTAAGCAGATCAACCCTAGTAGGTCGGCTAGTAGCACCTTGCCTATGGCCGACCTAAAGTACCTTGGCCTGCCCGACCTAAAGGACCTCCGCTTAAGGAGCGACCTCCTTTGGAGATTGGACGAGCTAAGTAGGGTATAAGTGATTACCTACAAAGCATGCTCGCTGACCTATTACATAGATCTAATATCAAGACCAAGATCTCCAGAGTAATAACGCTTGACCGTTAGGCTGACCTACCCACGCCAGAGTTATTCGGGCGAGCTGTAACGCCCACGCAGATCACGTAACCAACGTAATAACTCAGTTGAGTATGGGAAAATGGCTCCACAAGAAGATGAGACCTGTTGTAAGGAGTCTCAAACCTTTGACACCTATATAAGGTGCTTATTTCTACTTGCAAAGGTATGCACGAATATACACTCTCAAGCTCTCCTAATTTCTTAAAGAACTCTCAAACACTCTTTGACTTAAGCATTGGAGTGCCCTCCTCGGGTAAAGACAACCCAAGCACTCTAATCTTCCTTCTTGCAAAATATATCAGTTCGGACATCTCCAGCTCGGCCTAGCATAGTTCGGCCCAGACAGGGAACCACTTGAATTAGCATCCGAATTGCCTAACATGAGGGAGCAGCCAGATCACACAACATCAATTTTGGAATCGGATCAATTCGAATCACCCCTTATATGATCCAAAAAAGATATTACATATATTGAATGAATCAAATCCTATCAGATATCTGATAAAAATGATATAAATTGAATTTTCATCAGGAATCAAAAAAATTCAACAACTTCAAAATTGAATTCGGATCATATGGATTTTCTGTCGGAATTGAAATATCTTGATTTGAATCTGAACTAATCCCGCCTGCATCCCTAATTGAAAAGACCATTCGGAGCTTAAAATGGGCTTGATAAGCAATATACCAAAATTTTTGACATTTTTCTAAACAGATTAGAAAAGCACTTTTTAGGCTTTTTCAATGAAAAAGCACTTATGATAAACACTCCCAAGTCCCAAACACCGCAAATCCTTTTTCGCTCCTTTATTCCAAACAAAACTCAGGCACTAGGAAAAGAATTTCCATACATGGTCATTCTCAATCTATTAGGCTGCTTGAAGAATATACGATATTGGGCCAATCAAAGATAAGCCACATCAGTTAGATATGTGGAATCCACACTACAGCTAGGAAATGAACCAATATCGATCGTCTATCGGTTCTTTTTGCTCAACTCATGAGCCAGGTATTCAATATTAGACTCTTAATTGGGTCACATTGTACCAGATTCGGTTACATCCAAAGCATCCACATAGTAATGGCACATCGAGCAAAGATAGGAACATCATCTTTGAAACATGGGTCATCTAATATAGCCCAATAAATAGAGCCAATCAGTAATCAACCAGTCTAGGTGTAAACTAAAGGTGAAGCTACCCAATCATGCTTTGAGACCTCACTAGAATAATAAATGTTCTAGGGTCTCAAGACCTTTCCAACACATACTACACTAAGCGTCTATGTTTATATGTCTCCGAACCAAAGTTTCTTTGACTGGAAAACTACGGTGGCGTTTGATAAATCTAAAATCCGAAAAGTTAAAAAGATAGTATTTGTCTCAAATCTGAAAAAGAAGCATAGGTGCTTTTTTACTTTTTATTAAAAGCTTTAAATCTATAAATTTGTTTGTATTGGATCAACCCTTT